CAAAGCCTCACTATTTTTTTTTTTTTTTTTTTGACACAGGGTCTTGCTCTATCGCCCAGTTTGGAGTGCAGTGGCACCATCTCAGCTCACTGCAGCCTCAACCTGCTGGGTTCAAGCAATCCCCCTGTCTCAGCCCTGCAAGGAGCTGGGACTACAGGTGAGTGCCACCACCCCCATCTAATTTTTTTGTATTTTTAGTAAAGACAGAGTTTTGCCACGTTGCCCAGGCTGGTCTTGAACTCTTAAACTCAAGTGATCCACCCACCTCACACTCCCAAACTGCTAGGATCACAGGCATGAGCCACCACACTGGTCCTAAGGCCTCACTCTTAAATATGAACAGCCAGTCAAGTATTACCAGCTATTTGGTTAACACCTCCATTATAAAAGACAATGCCCAAAGCAAATACACAGGAAAAAAATCCAGGAGAGAACAGACACTTCTAACAGGAAAAAAAGCAAACAGAGGCCAGGCACGGTGGCTTACACCTATAATGCTAGCACTTTGGGAGGCCAAGGTGGGCAGATAACCTGAGGTCGGCAGTTCAAGACCAGCCTGGCCAACATGGCAAAACCCTATCTCTATTAAAAACACAAAAATTAGCCGGGCGTGGTGGCATATGCCTGTAATGTCAGCTACTTGGGAGGCTGAGGCAGTAGAATTGCTTGAACTCAGGAGGCGGAAGTTGCAGTGAGCCAAGATCGCGCCATTGCACTCCAGCCTGGGCAACAGGAGCAAAACTGTCACAGAAAAAAAAAAAAAAAAAAGGCAAATAGAAAGATACGTTAATGTTACATTACTAAAAAAGAACAGAATGCTATACGAAAGGAGCAATTAGAGAACAAGGAAAACCTTTTGAAAATTAAAGACACAATGATAGAGACAAATTCAATAAAGCTGTTGGTACGTAGGTCAATAAAATTTTACAGAAAGAACAAAAAGGCGAAGAGATGAAAAACAGGAGAGAGAAATGAGCAGATGATGACAGAAGCAATCCATAAGTTCCCCAAATCTAATAGGAAGAATAGTGAGCACATAGAAAATGAAGGAGAGGGGGCTGGGGGCACCTATAATCCCAGCACTTTGGGAGGCCAAGGTAGGTAGATCGTTTGAGGTTAGGAGTTCGAGACCAGTCATGCCAACCTGGTGAAACCCCATCTCTACTAAAAATACAAAAATTAGCCAGGTGTGGTGGCAGGTGCCTGTAATCTGAGCTACTCGGGAGGCTGAGGCAGGAGAATCACTTGAACACAGGAGGCAGAGGTTGCAGTGAGCTGAGATCACACCATTGCACTCCAGCCTGGGCAACAGAGTGAGACCCCTCTCAAAAAAAAAAAAAAAATCAGGGAGAGGGGCTGGGTGCAGTGGTTCACACCTGTAATCCCAGCATTTTGGGAGGCCAAGGTGGGTGGATCACGAGGTCGGGAGATCGAGACCATCCTGGCTAACACGGTGAAACCCCTCTACCAAAAATACAAAAAATCAGCTGGGCGTGGTGGCACATGCCTGTAATTCCAGCTACTCAGGAGGCTGAGGCAGGAGAATTGCTTGAGCCCGGGAGGTAGAGATAGTAGTGAGCCGAGATTGCACCACTGCACTCCAGCCTGGGCAACAGAGCGAGACTCCATCTCAAAAAAATAAATAAATAAAATAAATAAAATTCTTTTTGTGAAAAAAAATTAGCTGGGCGTCGTGGCTGGTGCCTGTAATCCCAGCTACTCAAGAGGCTGAGGCAGGAGAATCGCTTGAACCCGGGAGGTGGAGGTTGCAGTGAGCCAAGATCGCACCATTACACTCCAGTTTGGGCAAAAAGACTGAAACTCCGTCTTGAAAAAAAAAAAAAAAAAAAGACTAGAGACTAGCAAAAGAAGCCCCAGGATAACAGCCATGCAGAAGACAGGTTGAGCCTAGGATGGCAGACTTCAGGAAAAAGGTCTTCAAGGAAAAACTTCAATTGAAGCTTTTGAGCATATGGAAAATATTGATGAATATCTGACAGATCTTATAAAGCATTTGGAAAGAAATTGGAGGCCAGGCACGGTGGCTCACACCTATAATCCCAACACTTTGGGAGGACGAGGTGGATGAATCATCTGAGGTCAGTAGTTCAAGACCAGCTGGTCAACATGGTGAAACCCCATCTCTACTAAAATTATAAAAATTAGCTGGGAGTGGTGGTGGGCCCCTATAATCCCAGCTACTTGGGAGGCTGAGGCAGGAGAATTACTTGAACCCAGGAGGCAGAGATTGCAGTGAGCCAAGGCCACACCACTGTAATCCAGCCTGGGCAACAAGAGCAAAACTCCATCTCAAAAAAAAAAAAGAAAGAAATTAGCAATTGGCTTATAGAAAATGAAGCAGGCTGGGTGCGGTGGCTCATACCTGTAATCCCAGCACTTTGGGAGGGCGAGGCGGGTGGATCACCTGAGGTCAGAAGTTCGAGACCAGCCTGGCTAACATGGTGAAACCTCGTCTCTACTAAAAATACAAAAATGGGCCGGGCATGATGGCATGTGCCTGTAATCCCAGCTACCCAGGAGGCTGAGGCAGGAGAATCACTGGAAGCTGGGAGGTGGAGGCTGCAGTGCTCCAAGATCTCGCTACTGCACTACAGCCGGGGAAACAGAGCGAGACAAGAAAAGGAAAGAAAGAAAAGAGAAAGAAAGAAAGAAAAGAGAAGAGAAGAGAAGAGAAGAGAGAAGAGAAAAGAAAGGAAGGAAGAAAGGAAGGAAGAAAGGAAGAAAGAAAGGAAGAAAGAAAGGAAGAAAGAAAAAAAGAGAAAGAAAGAAAGAAAGAGAAGAAATAAAACAAAGCAAATGGAAAAATGAGGTAATTATTCATGCCAATAAAACAAAAAGATATAAAATGGACTATGCAACTATAAAAAAGTCAAGTATATTATTCTGTGAAAAAAAATAAGATACAGAACAATGTCTATAGTAAGCTGCCTTTTAACTATGAAAGGGGGAAGATACAAGTATCTATTAACATTTTCTTTTTTTTTTTTTTTTTTTTTGAGACAGTTTCACTCTTGTACTGTAAAACTTTTTTTTGGTTTCAATTTGCTCTGTTGCCCAGGCTGGAGTACAGCAGCATGATCTTGGCTCACTGCAACCTCTGCCTCCCGGGTTCAAGCAATTCTCCTGCCTCAGCTCCCAAGTGAAAATTTTTTTTTTTTTTTTTTTTTGAGACAGTTTCACTCTTGTTGCCCAGGCTGGAGTACAACAGCATGATCTTGGCTCACCACAACCTCTGCCTCCCGGGTTCAAGCAATTCTCCTGCCTCAAGCTCCCAAGTAGCTGGGATTACAGGCATGCACCACCACGTCCGGCTAATTTTGTATTTTTAGTAGAGACAGGATTTCTCCATGTTGGTCAGGTTGGTCTCAAACTCCCGACCTCAGGTGATCTGCCCGCCTCAGTCTCCCAAAGTGCTGAGATTAAAGGCGTGAGCCACCGTGTCTGGCCTACATTTCTTTTTCTTTCTTTCTTTTTTTGAGACATGGTCTCGCTCTGTCACCCAGGCTGGAGTACAGTGGTGCGATCTTGGCTCACTACAATCTCTGCCTCCCAGGTTCAAGCGATTCTCATACCTCAGCCTCCTGAGTAGCTAGGACTATAGGCTAGTCTAAATTACGCTCGGCTAATTTTTGTACTTTTAGTAGAGATGGGGTTTAGCCATGTTGGTCAGGCTGGTCTCGAACTCCTGACCTCAAGTGATTCACCTGCCTTAACCTCCCAAAATGCTGGGATTACAGGCATGAGCCACCATGCCTGGCCTACATTTTCTGAAATCAGCAAAAATAAAAAAAAAAATTGTTACCCATGGGAGGGAGGGAACTGGGTAGAGGGGTCAGAGGTGAAAGCTAGACCTCTCTGAATATACTTTTATTTTGTAGACTTGAGTTTGGAACCATGTAAATATTTTTTTAAAGTATAAAACAAAATTTAAATGTAAAAAGATCTGTAAAATTTGAAAGCAAAATGGAAAAAAAAGAACCTGTGTATCAAGCATCCAGTTAGTGGCTTAACTACAAAGAGTGGAATTATTTCAAGGGACACAGTAATTTGACATAAAGAACTAGAAAAAAGCCAGGCATGGTGGCTCACACCTGTAATCCCAGCACTTTGGGAGGCCGAGGCGGGTGGATTACTTGAGGTCAGGAGTTCAAGACCAGACTGGCCAACATGGTAAAAACCCATCTCTTCTAAAAATACAAAAATTAGCTGGGTGTGGTGGCATGGGCCTGTAGTCCCAGCTACTTGGGAGGCTGAGGCATGAGAATTGCTTGAACCCGGGAGGTAGAGGTTGCAGTGAGCCGAGATCATGCCTCTGCACTCCAGCCTGGGCGACAGAATGAGACTGCCTCAAAAAAAAAAAAAAAGTGTCTCAGAGGTCAGGCACAGTAGCTCATGCCTATAATCCCAGTACACTCTGGGATACAGAAGGTGGCAGAATTGCTTGAGGCCAGGAGTTCGAGACCAGCCTGCACAACATGGCAAGACCTCATCTAAGAACGAAAGAAAGAACAAACAAAAGAACGAACAAAAGAACGAATGAAAGAAAGAAAAAACAAATGAAAGAAAGATGTAAAGAAATGTCTCAGAGGCCAAGCTCATGATGTACTAGCTTATCACCACTTCACCTCATATTCCTCAATTCTGTTCTGCTGAAAACACTAGCCTTCCAAATACTTCAGACACCTGACACTTGCTATAGTGCCCTCATCAGCACTTCTTCCTAATACATCCCTACTATGAAAATGTCCTTGGATGCCTGACATTTACAATAATGGACACAGTTCTCTCTTCCCCTCTCCACTCTCCCTGAAATGGAAACCTAGCAATGTTCTCTCCACAGTTACAAGGTATGCTTTTAGTACAGAGCCCCTCCTTCCCTCTAGCACTAGAATTGGCTCTATTATCAAAATGTCAAGGATGTTGCTGTTGTAGACCACAACACCCCAGGCCATCCTCAACCAGCTCTTGTTCCATTTTACCTGTGCCACTTGACTGTGTTTCTCAGGGACGTTTTTCAGATTATTAGACCGCACGCAGACAATGTTCCCATCTATGGAAAGAAAAAGAATTTACATGGTTTTATTCTCAAAGATTATTTAAAAGAAAATGCCTGGCAACTCAAATTTCCATCGTCAAAGTGGCATATGTAGATATGAAAAAGCAAATACAATCTCATTGCCACTTTTCAGAGAAAACCTAATTATTTCCTGGTCTAGCCATTAAGCAGCTAATTCTTTATGAAGCTACTTCTCAATATTTTCTCTCACACCACACATGCGCTATATGACAACGTCTGTTTTCTGTTCAGATTTTAAGAGGGAAATGTAATGGGTTTCATTTTTCTATTACTGAATAATAGAACACTGACATCACATAGTCATGTAATTCAGCACACAGGACGGAAAAAAGTCAAGTCCATGCCCTAACGAACAGCAGTTTAAGACATATGGATATTAAACAGTGTGACTAACATCAAATGATGGTATTTCAAGTGGATTTATTGAAAATGGGCAAACAGAAAGCTCGGGAATGGGCCAAGCATAGTGGCTCATGCCTGTAATCCCAGCACTTGAGGAGGTTGAGGCAGGTGGATCACCTGAGGTCAGGAGTTCGAGACCAGCCTGGCCAACATAGCAAAACTAAACCGTCTCTACTAAAAATATAAAAATTAGCTGGATGTGGTGGTGCATGCCTGTAATCCCAGCTACTTGGAGGCTGAGACAGGAGAATCACTTGAACCTGGGAGGTGGAGGTTGCAGTGAGCCGAGATCACGCCACTGCACTCCAGCCTGGGTGACAGTGCGAGACTCCATCTCAAAAAAAAAAAAAGAAAGAAAAGAAAAGAAAAGAAAGTTCAGGAATGGAATCTGGGAATGGATAACTGAAATTAAGTATCGGAAATATGCCACTGTGATTCCCCTCACCGACACACAGCTTCCCTACCAATTCTTTTAAGGTAGATTTATCACAGAAATAATTTTCAGAGATATGGGGATGTGAAATAGGAAGACAACTCTAACAAAGAGATTGCTCCCACTGCAGAAAGCAGCATAAAATGATGATGACAACAATGATGATGAGACAGCAGCAGCAACAATGCCAGCATTTACTAAGTGTTTACTAGGTATCAGGCATATGGCTTTTAGAGGAAGAAAGGGCGAGGGTTGTGTTTTCTATCACTGTGTTACAATGACTACCCATCAGAAGTATCCACAATCAACCTCATGATCACGTTCTGCATCAAAGACTTCCAATTTAATCTTCTTCTTTAAGGCCACCGTATTTTCCACTTCTACTGACACTTCTCTGCGCCCTTTCATTCCTCTTCAGTCTTTGGTTTGTACAACCTTCAACTGACCTCTCCAAGTTCCCAGGTAGTACCCCACAGTCTTTGGATTGCCATCTGGACCTCGGTTCACAGAGAAGGTGGACTTATTTCGGTAACCATTGATGACAGGCTGGAGAGGAGGGTGACAAGAGGTCAAATGAAACCAAGGAGGATAACAATAAAGGGAAAGCAGGAATGTTCTCTGGATGAGGACAAATAAAGTTTGCTTGGAAGGTATGGCATATGTGAAAGTCTGTGGCTAAGAAGATCAAGACAGTCAAGAAGGGGAGTTTCAATCTTGCCAAAAAGCAGGAGTCAACAAACTACTTATGTCAAGAGCCAAAGAGTAAATAATCTAGGCTTTGCAGGCCATATGGTCCCTGTTGCAACTACTCAACTCTGCCATCACAGTGCAAAAACAGCCATAGACAATACATAAACAAGTGAGCTTGGCTGTGTTCCAATAAAACTTTATTTACAAAATCAGGCAGCAAGACAAAATTGGCCTAAGAGCTGTAGTCTGCTAACCCCTGCCATAAATGAAATTCCACTCCTCTGAGGCCACATTAGAAAGGTTTCCAATGTTACATGGGCAAATTGCGTGGGGGTGGCAGGAAGAAAGGTTTCCAAAGTTTGGAACCTTTCTAGGGAGGTAATAGTGGAGTGGTTGATACAATGGGCTCTCTATCAGATAGACCTCAGTGTGAATCTCAGCTCTGGCCCTTTCTAGATGTGTGTCCTGGGCAAATTACTCAATCTCTCTGGGCCTCAAGGTCTTCATCTATAAAATGGTAGTATCTATCCCTCCAGGTTATTATAAACAGTAAAATGTGACAGTGATACATGATAATCATTTAGCATAGGGCCTGGTCCCCAGCAAGTACCCAGTAAATATTAGCTGATGTTATTAGCATTAAGGGGATTTAATAGATAAGGAATAGGGAGGTGGGGGCTTACAGAGGGTATAATAGGATGGAGAAGACAAGGGAGGCTCTCAGATTTGGGTACAGCCGTTGTCACATTGACTCCATTGAGCATTTGGATGTAAGACTCTAGTCTTTGTAAAATTTTCTTCTGAGCTTCAAATTTCACCTGCAAAAGAATATAAGCAATGAAACGAAATATTGGCTGGGCATGGTGGCTCACGCCTGTAATCCTAGCACTTTGGATGGCTGAGGCGGGCGGATCACCTGAGGTTAGGAGTTCGAGACCAGCCTGACCAACATAGAGAAACCCCGTCTCTACTAAAAATACAAAAATTAGAGGGGCATGGTGGCACATGCCTGTAATCCCAGCTACTTGGGAGGCTGAGGCAGGAGATTCGCTTGAACCTGAGAGGCAGAGGTTGTGGTGAGCCGAGATCGCACCATTGCACTGCTCCAGCCTGGCCAACAAGAGCGAAACTCCATCTCAAAAAAAAAAAAGAAAGAAAGAAAGAAATGAAATACTTTTGTGGCTTCACTGCAAAGAATGGAAAACAAACAGTACAAAAGAAGAGTGTTCCACAGATTCTTGACTCATGGTCTCAACAGATGAGGAATCCAGAATGAAGGAACAAAAACAGACCTAAAAAGATAATGAGGAAAGGTCAAGAATGAGCTCTTGTGTAAGCTCATCAATTTATCTGCCCTTTCAGACTGAACACTCAAGGTATATGTCAGTTCTGTCCAGTAGAGCTTTCCACAGTGGAAATGTTCTGTTTGCACTGTGTTCTACATATACAGTAGCCACTAGCCATATGTGGTTATTGAACACTTGAAATGTGGTCAGTAGCAATGAAGAACTAAATTTTTTTTAATTTTTTTTTTAGAGAGAGGATCTCACTCCCATCACCCAATCTGGAGTGCAGTAATGAGATCTTGGCTCACTGCAGCCTTGATTTCCCAAGCTCAGGTGATCCTCCCACTTCAGCCTCCCAAGTAGCTGAGACTACAGGCACACGTCACCATACCTGACTAATTTTTTGTATTTTTAGTAGAGATGGGGTTTCGTTATGTTGCCCAGGCTGGTCTCAAACTCCTGGGCTTAAGTGATCTGCCTGCCTCAGCCCCCCAAAGTGCTAGGATTACAGGGGTGAGCCACCATGCCCAGCCTAAATTTTCTTTTCTTTTTTTTTTTTTTTTTACTGTGAGATGGAGTCTCACTCTGTCGCCCAGGCTGGAGTGCAGTGGTGTGATCTCCGCTCACCTGCAACCTCTGCCTCCCGGGTTCAAGTGATTCTCCTGCCTCAGCCCCCTGAGTATCTGGGATTACAGGAGTGTGCCACCACGCCTGGCTAATTTTTCTTGTATTTTTAGTAGAGACGGGTTTCACCGTGTTAGCCAGGATGGTCTCAGATCTCCTGACCTGGTGATCTGTCCGCCTCAGCCTTCCAAAGTGCTGGGATTACAGGCACAAGCCACTCTACCTGGACCTAAATTTTTAATCTTAATTTTAATTAACTTAAGAGTCAGCCCTGCTATAATATGACATAAGTGTTCCTATACCACACTATGCAAAATCACTCACAAAAAGATCTCAAGGCTCATGGGAAAAACAGGATTAGGCATACAACATTCCAAAACTTTATCAGTAACACCCACAGAAAAGATTAAGAACCTAATAAAAACAGCAACACTGTTTTGTACATGGCAAGTGGTTAAGAAATATGAATAGTCGGCCGGGCGCAGTGGCTCAAGCCTATAATCCCTGCACTTTGGGAGGGCGAGACGGGCGGATCACGAGGTCAGGAGATCGAGACCATCCTGGCTAACATGGTGAAACCCCGTCTCTACTAAAAAATACAAAAAACTAGCCAGGCGCGGTGGCGGGCGCCTGTAGTCCCGGCTACTCGGCTACTCGGGAGGCTGAGGCAGGAGAATGGTATAAACCTGGGAGGCGGAGCTTGCAGCGAGCTGAGATCTGGCCACTGCACTCCAGCCTGGGTGACAGAGCGAGACTCCGTCTCAAAAAAAAGAAAAAAAAGAAAAGAAATATGAATAGTAACCTAGGCACGGTGGCTCATGCCTATAATCCCAACATTTTGGGAGTCTGAAGCAGGTGGATCGCTTGCATCCGGGAGTTCGAGACCAGCCTGTGCAGCATGGTAAAACCCCGTCTCTACAAAAAATACAAAAAATTAACCAGGTATGGTGGTACACGCCTACAGTCCCAGCTACTAGGGAGGCTGAGGTGAGAGGATCCCTTGAGCCCTGGAGGCAGAGGTTGCAGTGAGCTGTAATCACACCTCTGCATTCCAGCCAGGCAACAGAGTGAGACACTATCTCAAAAAAAAAAAAAAAAAAAAAAAAGAATTGCAACTTGGAGTTATCACGAAGTCATAAAAAGAGGGCTATGTGAGTCAGATGGAAAGTTCTAACACCGGATGTGGATGGGTATGGCTTATAACAAACACACTGGGGGAACTGAGGGAGCCGGTAGATGTTTGAGGTATGTGCATGCATTCATTTTATATGTTCTTAAATAGCTCGGTTCAGCTGAGTATGGTCTCCTTTCATCTAGCGTTTCTTATGGACAAAATTACTTCTAAGTAAACATGAAATTTGCATTATTCTCAAATTTTCCCTAATATGTCAATTAGTTAGAATAAATTTCTCTTTTCTAAATAAGCAGTAGAGCTTATTTAGAATTAAGCAGTAGAACTGACTGTATTCAAATTTAAATTGCCACATATGGCTACTGGCTACCATGTTGGAAAGCACAGCTACATGTGAAACAGCAAGAGCACTACTACTCACATACACAGAGCTATAAGTATAACAAAAACGCAAGAAAGAGAGGAAACACACATTTGGATCTATGGGTCTAGAGTGAGGAAGATATAATTGGCCTAAAGTTCCAATTTTGGAGTCAATAGCATAATGAGTTTAAGGAGCTGCCTGGGCTTCTGCATAGAACTGCCCAGTCAAGGCCCGGCGCGGTGGCTCACGCCTATAATCCCAGCACTTTGGGAGGCTGAGGCAGGCAGATCACCTGAGGTCAGGAATTCAAGACCAGCCTGGCCAACATGGTGAAACTCCATCTCTACTAAAAATACAGAAATTAGCTGGGCATGGTGGCACATGCTTGTAATCTCAGCTACTCAGAAGGCCGAGGCAGGAGAATTGCTTGAACCTGGGGGAGTGGAGGTTGTAGTGAGCCGAGATTGCACCACTGAACTCCAGCCTGGGTGACAGCGCGAGGCTCCATCTCAAAAAAACTTAAAATTAAAAATAAATAAATAAATAACTGCCCAGTCAAGCCTCCTACGAGTCTGGCACCATTCTCCTGGAAAGGAGGGGTAAAGACTTAGGCTGGTCACCTACCTTGAGCTGTTCTTCATAGCTCAACCTCCAGAGTGGTGTAACAACATCAGCCAGCCTGGAATAAAATAATTCAGGCAATTCTTTAATTATATAAATATGTACTGAGCACCTACTATTCCTAAGTACTTTCAGAAGACCTAACTCTCATGCTCTCTAGGGAGATGGAGTCTGGGAGAACAGCCCATTTTGATGTTGTCTACTTAACAAAGCAGAACAGATGGAGCAAACCTAATATAAGAAAAATCCAGATTTATCAGGAGGTAATTAATCATATTACAAAAGGCTTCTCTGTTGGGTTTCTTTAAATAGCTTATCTTCCTAATGCTTTTAAAATATAATTTGATTTAGAAAATACATTTGTTGCATAAATGAGGTATATTTGTGCTTATATGGCTGCAATGGGACTACTCAACTCTAATCCATCTAATGTCATTCTGGGTTCCTGGTTTTCAGCAAACCTGTCCTGGACTTATTAAAGACAAGGTCCCAGATTAGTATCTTCTTTCTGATAAAAACACACTCAAAGACAAAGAGAATGGTTTCTGCAACCCCAAAGCATTTCCACCAATATTCTTCAGACGTCCTCAAATTTGCCCTGGGTATCCTACCTCAGGTGGCCCCACAAATTCTTGTAATGCTACATTAGTTACATTAGGAATACAGAATTTCAGTAGATGCACAGATTGAGACTTGCTAAGGAGAGAGGACATCAGCCTGGCCTTTACCTTTCCTGCCAGGAACCATCTAGTGGTCCAAGATGACTTGGTTTCTTCTGACTTTTTTGTCCTTTCTGACACTTCGTGGCTATCACATGGGTGAAATCTCCCTTACATACTGTGCCCAGAAAGAGCTGTGACCATCCTGGTGGATTTCTGGCATACCAGGGAAGCAGTCCTGATTTGGAGAAGAGACCCACCATGGAGATGAAGTATCTGAGGCTGTGCATTGGGACTCTTCTCTTAAGGCCTGCCATCCAAAGAACACACTGAAATCCACCTGCATGAAAGGTACACATACAGAGGTTGGGAAATGGAACCACAACTACCAAACCCATTCATCCATTTATAAACCCTTATGGATCTCAAGCGCCTAGCAGAATGCTGGCACACAATAGACAGTAAAAGCAAGCCTGTTGAGCAGAACTGAATTACTGCATGCAAGGTATGTTTTGGTTCCCAAAATAAAGAGATGGGAAAAATATAGTCTCTGTCCTCCAGGAAAGAGTTCAAATCTCTGGATATATTTCTATGACAAATCTCTTTCCCTATTCCAACTTCCTAACCAACAGCCAATCAAGCAGCTAATATTTAGTAAGTGCTTACTATGTGCAAGACATCATGCCACACTAGACACCAGAGGGGTTACAAAGGTTACAATCTAATTAAGGAGATTAAATGCTGACACAGGAAAAGACATTAGGAAATAACACAGTATGCTTGGTTCCTGATGAGTGCTCAGAAAAGGCTTCCCAAAGCAGGGAGGCATGGTGCTGAGTCTTTTTTTTTTTTTTTTTTTTTGTTAAGACAGTCTCATTCTGTCGCCCAGGCTGGGGTGCAGTGGCATGATCATGGCTCACTGCAGCCTTGACTTTCTAGGCCTAAGCAATCCTTCCACCTGAGCCACGCAAGTAGCTGAGACTACAGGTGTGCACTACCACACCATTCTTTTAATTTATAGTAGAGACAGCCAGGAGCAGTGGCTCATGCCTGTAATCCCAGCAGTTAGGGCGGCCAAGGCAGGTGGATCACCTGAGGTCAGAAGTTCAAGACGAGCCTGGCTAACATGGCAAAACCCTGTCTCCACTAAAAATACAAAATTAGCTGGGTGTGGTGGTGCATGCCTGTGATCCTAGCTACTTGGGAGGCTGAGGCAGAAGAACTGCCTGAACCTGGGAGGCAGAGGATGCAGTGAGCCAAGATTGCACCATTGCACTCCAGCCTGGGCAACAAAAGCAGAAACTCTGTCTCAAAAAAATAAATAAATAAGGCTGGGCACAGTGGCTCACTCCTGTAATCCCAACACTTTGGGAGGCCAGGGCGGGCAGATCACTAGTTCAGGAGTTCGAGACCAGCCTGGCCAACATGGTAAAACCCCGCCTCTACTAAAAATACAAACATTAGCCGGGAATGGTGGCACACACCTGTAGTCCCAGGTACTCAGGAGGCTGAGACAGGAGAATCACTTGAACCCGGGAGGCAGAGGTTGCAGTGAGCCAAAATCATGCCACTGCACTCCAGCCTGGGCGTCAGAGTGAAACTCCGCCTCAAATAAATAACAAACAAACAACAAACAAACAAACATAGTAGAGACAAGGTCTTGCTATGTTGCCCAGACTGGCCTCAAACTCCTGGGCTTAAGTGATCCTCCCACCTAGGCCTCCTAAAGTGCTGGGATTGCAGGTGTGAGCTGCCACGTCCAGCCAGAAACTGAGTCTTATAGGATGGCAGAGAGATGAATTACATGTTTGAAGGACAGCAGGGAGACCAGTCTGACTAAAATAGTAGTTCATTTTAAGGAATAGAGGCAACAGGCTGAAAAGTTAAGTCAAAGTGAGATTTGAAAGAATGTTCATGCCTGAATAAAACATCGACTTTATTGTGAAGGTAATAGTGAGATGATGGAGGCCTTGTGTAGAGAATTAAAGATGAAATAAGGAGGCTAATAAAAAGCAAGTTCGGCCGGGTGCAGTAGCTCACGCCTGTAATCCCAACACTTTGGGAGGCCGAGACGGGCACATCACAAAGTCAGGAGTTCGAGACCAGCCTGGCCAATATGGTGAAACCCTGTCTCTACTAAAAATACAATAATTAGCCGGGCATGGAAGCAGGCACCTATTGTCCCATCTACTCAGGAGGCTGAGGCAGGAGAGTCGCTTGAACCTAGGAGGCAGAGGTTCCAGTGAGCCAAGATCGTGCCACTGCACTCCAGCCTGGGTGACAGAGCGAGACTCCATCTCAAAAACAAAAACAAAAACCAAAAAAAAAGGAAATTCACGTTTGAGACATATTGTGTTTAGAATGGTAGGGAAATATCCAAATGGAAATGTCTAACAAGTAAGTAGAGAAGCAGTAGGACAAGTAGAGAGATCGAGAGAGATGGCAAGGCTACAGATTTCATTGAGTGTCTATAATACAAGCTGTAAGATGAAAAAGGGCTTTGAGGCCAAACACAGTGGCTCATGCCTATAATCCCAACACTTTGGGAGGCCAGGACGGGCAGATCACAAGGTCAGGAGTTCCAGACCAGCCTAGCCAACATGGTAAAACTCCATCTCCACTAAAAATACAAAAATTAGGACTGGGTGCAGTGGCTCATGCCTGTAATCCCAACACTTTGGGAGGCCAAGGCAGGTGGATCACGAGGTCAGGAGTTTGAGGCCAGCCTGGCCAATACGGTGAAACCCCGTCTCCACCAAAAATACAAAAATTAGCTGGGCATGGTGGCGTGTACCTGTAGTCCCAGCTACTCGGGAGGCTGAGGCACAAGAATCACTTCAACCCAGGAGGCGGAGGTTGCAGTGAGCTGAGATCATACCACTGCACTCCAGCCTAGGCAATATAGAGAGACTCAGTCTCAAAAAAATAAATAAATAAATAAATAAATAAATAAATAAACCAAAATAAATTTTTTTTTAAAAAGTGCTTTGTGTAAAGGCAAGAGCAAAAGGCCAATGACTATATCTGGGAGAAAGGTAATATTTGGAGAGCAAGAAGAGATGCTGGTGTCAGAATGAGAGTCAAGAGAGCCTGGAGGCCTGGAGGCCTGGAGGCCAAGGCAGATACCTCTGAGGAAGGCAGTATCACATCCATTATGTCTGGGACAAAAGAAAGAAGGGAAAGAAGGCAATGGGAAGTGGCAGGCAGTGGGCACAAATGAAGGCTTTGACATTTTAGGAGTGCAGATCCTAGAGTCAGACAGCGAGACCTGTCCTGGGTGGTCCACTGGCCCCACCACTCACTACCTAGGTGGCGGTTGCCAAGTTAATCATTCTCTCTGACATTCCTTTTTTTCACTTGTAAAATGGAGACAATGGTATCTACCTTATATAGTGGTTGTAGGAGTTACAAGAAGATAATTAATAAAAAGTACCTAGGCTGCTGGGCACAGTGGCTCACACCTATAATCCCAGCACTTTGGGAGGCCAAGGCAGGTGGATCACCTGAGGTCAGGAGTTCGAGACCAGCCTGACCAACATGGAGAAACCCTGTCTCTACTAAATATTCAAAATTAGCCAGATGTGGTGGCGCCTGCCTGTAATCCCACCTACTCAGGAGGCTGAGGCAGGAGAATCGCTTGAACCCGGGAGGCAGAGGTTGCAGTGAGCCAAGATCAAGCCACTGCACTCCAGCCTGGGCAACAAGAGTGAAACTCCATCTCAAAAAAAAAAAAAAAAGTACTTAGGCCAGGTACAGTGTTGCTCACGCCTATAATCCCAGCACTTTGGGAGGCCAAGACAAGAGGACTACTTGAGCCCAGGAGTTTGAGACCAGCCTGGACAACACAGGGAGACCCCATCTCTACAAAAATTAAAATATTAGCCAGGCATGGTGGCATGCGCCTGTAGTCCCAGCTACTCGGGAGGCTGAGGTGGTAGGACCACTTGTGCCCAGGCAGCCATGATCATGCATGCTCCAGCCTGGGCGACAAAGCAAGACCCTGTCTCGGGAAAAAAAAAAAGTACTTAGCAGAAGATCAGATAGGTATGTTTGTGAAACTCTGAGCAGAGTCCAACACCTGGCAAAATCTCTTCAGTAAGCATTAATAGTAACTGTCATGATGTCTTTAAAGACAGTATTTAACTGAGTAGAGGTGGCAACACTGAAAGAGGGGAGTGGGAGAAGGAACAATGGGAGTAACTATGAGACAAAAGCTGGGAGAGTTAACATGGGTGACACTGAGAACACAAGTAGGGGGCTTCCCTTTTCAACACAGGACTCTACGGTATATCTGCATTGCTGTGAAAGCACCTGGTTTTTGTTTGTTTTAAAAATGAGATGGGGTTGGCCGGGCATGGTGGCTCACACCTGTAATCCCAGCACTTTGGGAGGCCAAGGTAGGCGGATCACCTGAGGTCAGGAGTTCGAGACCAGACTAGCCAACATGGCGAAACCCCATCTCTACTAAAAATACTAAAATTAGCCAGGCGTGGTAGCAGGCACCTGTAATCCCAGCTACTCAGGAGGCTGAGGCAAGAGAATTGCTTGAACCTGGGAGGCAGAGATTGCAATGGGCCAAGACTGCAACAGAGCAAAACTGGGTGACAGAGCAAGACTCCATCTTAAAAAAAAAAATGAGATGGGGTCTCGCTATGTTTTCCAGGCTGGTCTCAAACTCCTGGACTCAACCAATCCTCCTGTCTCGGCCTCCCAAAGTACTGGAATTATAGGCGTGAGCCACCATGCCCAGCCATAAACACCTATTTTAAGTACTTAGGACACTTGAATGGACTTAGCCTGACATCCTATTAACCTGCTGTGAAATTTGTATTTTGCCCTTAAGCTCTACCTTGGATTTCATCCCAATGTTAAGTCATAGCCTAATTCAGAATTTTATATTTATACATACATGCATACACACACACACACACACACACAAATTATTGCTAAATTAACATTCCATGATCAGTAAGTAACCTAGAGGATGATGACATAGGTGCTGCAATATTTAGCCCATACACCATTTTGTATGATTACAAAGTACTAAAGAAAGTGACTGTCATAGCATGTGACATTTGGGGAGATTTCAAACTTTTTACAGAATATATTTAAGCTGGCCCAGAGTTCAGGTGTTAATGATAGCACCCTCCACTCAACACCCCCCCATCAAGAGGCAACAAGACAGTACAGTTAAGAAAACGGGCTTTGGAGCCATGTTCTTTGTTTCAAAAAAAAAAAAAAAAAAGGAAGAGTCTTACTTTGTCGCCCAGGCTGGAGTGCAGTGGCACATTCTTGGCTCACTGCAACCTCCACTTCCTGTGTCAAGCCATTCTCCTGCCTCAGCCTCCCAAGCAGCTGGGATTATAGGCACCCCCCACTGCACCCAGCTAATTTTTGTATTTAGTACAGACAGGATTTCATCATGTTGACCACCCTGGTCTCAAACTCCTGACCTCAAGTGATCCATCTGCCTCGGCCTCCCAAAGTGCTGGCATTACAGGCATGAGCCACCGCATTCAGCTGGAGCCACGTTCCAATCCCAGCTCCACTTCTCACTGGCTACGTGGTTTTACGCAAGATATTACTACTTAAGCACTATGAATCTCAGTGTCACTATCTATACAAATAGGACTAAGAACACCTATCTTTATGGTTTTGGTGAGAATTAAAAGCGTTCATATATATGACATGTTCAGGACTGTGCTTAAGACAGCCAGTGCTCAACATGTGTCACTGTCCTTCCTTAGGCTGATTCAAAGCATACCACTTGGTTTCTTCCTGCCTCAACATCTCCAACCTGCAAAACTGACAAGATGTAATAATGCATGCAAGTGCTGTGAGGATGAGTACAGTTATGTGGGAAATTTAAAAAACACCACACACACATACACATAAGTTTTCTGACCCTCTACATGAGTGCCTGCTGGAGTGTAGTGAGGTTATGGCCTATGCTGGACTACCTGTTAATACAATCAAAAGTGTGTGGCAGCCGGGCGCAGTGGCTTACAACCAGAACTCCCAGTACTTTGGGAGACCAAGGCAGGAGGATTGCTTAAGGCCAGGAGTTTGAGATCAGTCTGGGCAACACAGCGAGATCCGGTCTCTACAGAAAAATTTAAAAATTAGCCAGGTGTGGTGGCACACACCTGTGGTCCTAGCTACTTAGGAGGCTGAGGCAGAAGGATCACTTAAGTCCAGCAGTTTAAAGCTGCAGTGAGCTATGACTGTGCCACTGCATTCCAGCCTGGGAGGGAGACCTTGTCTAAAAAAAAAAGCCAGGGTGGCTCACGCCTGTAATCCCAGCACTTTGGGAGGCCGAGACGGGCAGATCACTTGAGATTAAGAGTTTGAGACCAGCCTGGCCAACATGGTGAAACCTCGTCTCCACCAAAAATATACAAAATTAGCCGAGTGTGGTGGCACATACCTGTAATCCGAGCTACTCAGATGGCTGAGGCAGGAGAATTGCTTGAACCTGGGAGGCAGAGGTTAAAGTGAACCAAGATCATGCCACTGCACTCCAGCCTGAGCAACAGAGACTCCTCCTCAAAAAAAAAAAAAAGTGTGTGGCCTATAAGAGAATGTACATGTTTGAAATGGAGAATGGCAAAAGCCAGACAAAGGAAATGAATGAAGAGGCAAGAGACATAAAGAATGACTTGGTGGGTCTGAGGAGGCCAGGGTCCTTGAAGACCAGACTACAAGGGAAGGGAGTAGAGCTGATCCAGGAGAGGGGTCCTGTCCCTCCAGTCAGCAGGAAAGTCAGGAGGAAGGAAACTGCAGGCCCATTTGAGGATTTGCAGAGAAGGGACAAGGGAGCTGAGGAATTTGAAGACAGTTATTCCCACCCCAACGACATTTAGACTTTTTTGTGAATGTGTGGGTCCTCTGACTGGTGACTCCGCCATGACTGTAGTTCATTTGCTCTATACCCCAGCAGGAGGGTCCTTGTCCATCTAGGTATATTCCAAATTATCAAGTATGGTCTAAAACAGGACCTTATTATTTCAAGGTGCCAACTAGCCATCATTCTAGGTAAAAGCCTGTCATATTTAGTAACTTCTGTGGTGAAATTTCTTTTTCAAGGCAGCACACTCATACCAGTAAAGGTGAGTTCTGTTTCTTTGTTTCTTAATGTCAGGCGAGGCATTTGTTCACAGAAGACACTATTTCCTTTTTATATCTTGTCCTGTTTTAAATAAATGCTTGGGGCCGGGTGCGGTAGCTCACGCTTGTAGTCCCAGCACTTTGGGAGGCCGAGGAGGACGGATCACCTGAGCTCAGGAGTTCGAGACCAGACTGACCAACGTGGAGAAACCCTGTCTCTACTAAAAATACAAAATTAGCCAGGTGTGGTGGCGCATGCCTGTAATCCCAGCTACTCGGGAGGCTGAGGCAGGAGAATTGCTTGAACCTGGGAGGCAGAGGTTGCAGTGAGGCGAGATCCCACCATTGCACTCCAGCCTGGGCAACAAGAGTGAAACTCCATCTCAAAAAAATAAAAAATACAATAAATAAACGCTTGGGGGCCAGGTGCAGTGGCTCAGGCTTGTAATCCCAGCATTTTGGGAGGCCGAGGCAGTGGATCACGAGGTCAGGAGTTCGAGACCAGCCTGACCAACACAGTGAAACCCAGTCTCTACTAAAAATACAAAAATTAGCTGGGCGTGGTGGCGGGCGCCGTAATCCCAGCAACTCCGGAGGCTGAGGCAGGAGAATCATTTGAACCTGGGAGGCGGAGGTTGCAGTGAGCTGAGATCGCGCCACTGCACTCCAGCCTGGGCGACAGAGCTAGACTCCGTCTCAAAAAAAATAAAAAATAAAAACAATAAATAAATGCTTGGGCATTTTTTCCTTAGCAAAAGAAAAAAAAAGGTGTGTGAGCGGTTGTGCTCGACTGTTCTATACCTGCCTCAGGAATTGATCAGGAAGAGCCATGGAGTCCAGAGTAGCCCAGATAGGAAGGCAGGCTAACTCACCTGTGCTCAGAGAGGTTCAAATCAAAGAGACTATGTGGTAGGTCTGACCCGCGCAGGGCCAAGGATCCCTTTTGGAGCAAAATGTTCACCCACCGACAAGGGTCCTGCTTGCACACTCTCTGCTCACCCTTCCTTCAGTTGGACCGGCCCCAAACACTATTCCTTGCTAAACCAAACGAGCAAATGGGTTCTCTGCTGTAACCCGACTGCAGTCCACAGGCAGTTAGGTCCTTGTCTCCCCAACAAGACTCCACTAGCCCTTCCATTCCTTTCTTCTTTAGGCAAGTTCTGCCCACTGTGTCTGTAGGAAGGGTTAACAAAGAGGAGACGCTAGGAAAGGATACCACTAAATTTGGCCGGACTGCAGGGCCCCGGAAGGACGGAAAGTAAGGGAGTGGGAGGAGTTAGGGCACAGGCCCACGCTAGGCTGGACACGACCTTGCGCAGCACCGTCGGGTCCCGTCCCCAGCCCCGCCTGCCGCCTCCATTACCCGCCCCGCGGACAGTTTGGCATAGTAGGGAGTTTTCTGTAACGCAAGGGTTAAATCAGGTTTTCCGGGCTATTTATCCACCTTACCTTTCTTCGTAACCAATAAATCCTCTTACAAACCCAAGGCGGCAAACTAAAAGGGCAGCGGATGGCCTGGTTTGCTGCGGCGGGGAAACAGTCACTTCCTGGTGCGCAACGCGCCTCTACTCCCGCCGCAAGCGCAGCCAACCCTTGGCAAGCGCGGCGGGACGCGGGGCTCCTCCCAGCGTCGGCGAGGCAGCAGGCCCCGGCACCTCGACTCCTCTCGGGGAGTGCCCCTCCTTACTTTGCTGGGGGAACCTTCCATGGAGACCTTCCTTAAAAGCACTCATAGCCCTGATACCCGCCGCCTTCCTTCTCTAAGTTCTCCTCTCCTCCCCTCCCCGCGGCCCCGCCCACCACCTGCTCTTTTCTCACCGTCCCATTGGTGGATCTACATAAGAGACTCACGAAGAAACTCAGACTACACTGTTAACTGCGTTACCCATCCCAGGGGTGCTTGCAGTTTAAGTCTTTCAACTCAAGGAATAGTTTTCTGGTAGAGTTGCAGACATCAGATCCATAATAGGTTGGAAGACTGGGAAATGAGGAGCAGGGTGGTTTCCTGAAATGGCATCCTTTGGTAAAAGTCAGACCTATTCTGAGCCGTGGGGTTTTTCAGGCATTCATTCTCTATTTTACACTGCATCAGAAAAATACTTTATAGTTTCTTCACTGGATCCCACTCAAGACTATTAAATCCTAAGCCCTCAGAAATAATTTTTTTCTTCAACTACAGAACTCAAAAAGAAGACAGATGTCTCTTTTTGGTTGATTCACTACCTCCTGGACTACATTCAGTAGCCCAGCCACATAAGTAAGAAAACTTGAGGTATACACACATCTGTGTGCTGTAAAATATTGTTGCTTTAACAGAGTAAAATTTACAGCAAAGTGGACCTACCAGGCTGGGCATAGTGGCTCACACCTGTAATCCCAGCACTTTGGGAGGCTGAGGAGGAAGGATCAGCTGAGGTCAGGAGTTCGAGACCAGCCTGACGAACATGGTGAAACCCCGTCTCTACTAAAAATACAAAAATTAGCTGGGCATGGTGGCGCACACCTGTAATCCCAGCTACTTGGGAGGCTGAGACAGGAGAGTCACTTGAACCCAGGAGGTGGAGGTTGCAGTGAGCGATCACACCACTGCACTCCAGCCTGGGCAAAAAGAGTGAAACTCCGTTTCAAAAAAAAAAAAAAAAGTGAACGTACATTTAATGATACTTTATGCTTAATAATAATTGTGCTTAAGTGGAAAACACTTTGTAGTCAACATTTCATTTATTAATATTTATTCGAAGCATAACATGCCTATTATGTGTAAGGCAATGCGTTAGCCTTAGTGAGTACAGTAGTAAATTAAACAAGGCCCAATACTTCAAATAGTAGCAAACATTGAGTCAGTCAGAATAGAATTAAAAGCCCAGATCTGCCACTTATTTTTTATTTTTCTGTTTTTTTTGAGATGGAGCTTTGCTCTTGTTGCCAAGGCTAGAGTGCAATGGTGCGATATCGGCTCACCGCAACCTCCATCTCCCGGGTTCAAGCGATTCTCCTGCCTCAGCCTCCCAAGTAGCTGGGATTACAGGAGTGTACCACCAAGCCCAGCTAATTTTTGTATTTTTAGTAGAAACGGGGTTTCACCATGTTGGTCAGGCTGGTCTCGATCTCCTGACCTCAGGTGATCCGCCTGCCTCAGCCTCCCAAAGTGCTAGGATTACAGGCATAAGCCACTGTCCCCAGCAGCTCTGCCACTTATAAGCTGTGTCCACTTGAGCAAGTTATTTAATTGCTCAGTGCCTCAGTTTCATCATCTGAAAAAAATGTCCAAATAATTGTACCTATCTCATAGGGTTGTGACAACAATTAAATTAGTTAATACACACAAAGTGCTTAGAATACAGTAAGTACACAAAAAAGTTAGCTATTATCATTCAAAATAAGTTGATACACTGTGTGTTCATACATTCTGAAGGAAATCAAAATATTTTACCCCAAAATAAATGTATTTGCCATATTTTTGAAATGGCTGCCTCAGGACCAGAGGACTGAGATGGGGGAAATTTGCGTCTGTAGAGAACCTCCTTGAATGCAGCCAAGTTTCCCATTTCTATGCCTTACCTGGATCCAGGAGAGATTGAGTCTGACATCTTTAAAAGTTTGGAAAGAAGCATTTACCACCTATTCTTTCTGAAGGAGGCTTCCTCTACATAACAAGGCCACCTTCACAAACCAAGTCTCTTCCTTTCTTCCATAACCTATCTTGCTACTAAAACCTGTTTTTGTATATACTCTGAGTCCATCCACATTCTTTCTGTAATTTCTTACTTTTTTATTTTTTATTTTTTATTTTTTTGAGACGGAGTCTAGCTCTGTCCCCCAGGCTGGAGTGCAGTGGCATGATCTCAGCCCACTGCAACCTCTGCCTCCCAGGTTCAAGCAATTCTCCTGCCTCAGCCTCCCTACTAGCTGTACTACAGGCATGCACCACCACACCCAGCTAATTTTTGTATTTTTAGTAGAGATGGGGTTTCACCATGTTGGCCAGGATGGTCTCGATCTCTTGACCTCGTGATCTGCCCGCCTCGGCCTCCCAAAGTGCTGGGATTACAGGCATGAGCAACCGCCCAGCCTCTTTCTGTAATTTCAAGATGATATATAAGCTTCTGTTAATTATTGGGAAGTTGAGTCTCCATGATGAAGGCTCCCATGTGTACATGTTAAATGAATTTGTATGCCTTTTCTCCTATGAATCAACCTCGTATCAGTGATATTTTGGTGAACCTTCAGGGGGCCAATGGCTGTGGCCCCCACAACACACACACATGCCCGCGCACGTATATATTTCTTGTTTTTTAAAGAGAGATTTCACTTCCATCCTAAACCCTTGAGGATGTAAATGTTTGACTCAAATTGCTACTATCCTAACTGCTCTCATGGCTCATAAACAAAATTTGAGCTCAAACCACTGCTTCAGCTTTCTAGGCCCATACAGGGCTACAAAGTGAGACCAGGCCAGAGAATTTACCTTTGGCTCTATTTTCCCTTTCTCATCTATTATCCCCTCTTATATGGATAGACAGCTCTACACCTTTTATCACCTCCTCTTCCCCTTTCTTTGCCTTCCCAAGCCCTTCTGCTCCTTTATCACTTCTCATTTTGGCCTTCTGTGTTGTGCCTAGCACAGAGTCAGGTGTCCAATATGAGCTCAATAAATATTAATATTTGATTAATTAAACTGAATTCCATCTTGTCTGCTGAAAGAGAGAAGGCATTTCCTCCCTCACCCCCACCTATTTTGAGCATCCAGGCAAATTCATTTAAAGCAGGCCTGTCATTCAAGGAGGCAAAACCCTGATGGGTAGAGAGAGAAAAGAGATTAAAGAAGCTAAAATGTAATTATTTAGCCATTAACCCCTTTATATTTATTTAATCTGGCAAAGCGTGTTCTTCTATAAAAGTGAAATCATTGCATTTGTAAGAGGGGAAATAAATACCCCATATTATAGGAAAGGTTAGACCCTTCAACCAGAAAGTCAGTAAGTGGATATGTCATAGATGATAAGGAATATTGTTAACTCAAATAAGAGCTGGAACCAAGATAACCTTTTACTTAATTTTGTTATTAGCCAACCAAATCACAGCAAAGTGAAATCCCTAGGAATTTGTCAAACATTCTCATTTTGGTGCAAGGAAAAGATAGCTGAGAGGTTACAGCATTCGCTCTCAGAAATAACATGTATTAAAATTGACCGAGCAGGAGCATCACCCTCTTGGACAAGCACTGCCATTCTAAAGTTCCCCTTGATCAAAAACTTCCTGAGGCTGGGCGAGGTGGCTCACGCCTGTAATCCCAGCACTTTGGGAGGCCGAGGCGGGTGGATCACCTGAGGTCAGGAGTTCAAGACTAAACTGGCTAACATGGGGAAACCCCATCTCTACTAAAAATACAAAAATTAAGTGGGTATAGTGGCAGGTGCCTGTAATCCCAGCTGCTTGGGAGGCTGAGGCAGGAGAATCACTTGAATCCAGCAAGCAGAGGTTGCAGTGAGCCAAGATCACGCCACTGTACTCCAGTCTGGGTGACAGAGCAAAACTCCATTTCAAATTTAAAAAAAAAAAAAAGTTTAATTGATGAGAGCTCAGCCACAACATGTGGGAGATGGAGTTATTACTCACATCAATCTCCCTGAAAATTTGGAGGCTAGAATTTTTCAAAGATAGTTTGGTAGGCAGTTATAGTTATATGTATAGACAGCTCTATACCTTTCATCACCTCCTCTTCCCCTTTGGTTGGGGATGCAATCATAGGGGTATGGAAAATGGTCCTCTTGGACTGAGTCTGCTCCTGGGTCGGAACCACAGTAGGTGTGGGGTGGGACAATTCAGTAAGTGTGGAGTGGGGCTCAGAATCCATATGTGTTACAATCATCCAAGCGGATTATGTTGCAGATGTGCCCCTGACCATATTTTGAGAAACATTTGCAGTATGCAGTATAGCTTGCCTTAGCACAGAACCTTATGACCTCCCATCTGAATGTATGCAGCAATCTCCCTCAGCTTCCAGGTCACTGAAGCTGCCTTTGCAAAATGATGACATTAAGAGAAATCTGACATTGTTGACTCCATCTTGCCTTTAACTTCCAAGCTGTCCTTGGCCGTTCATGGGCATGGGCCATGCTAACTTTGGGAGAAAGTTAGTTTATAGTTTAAATAACAGCCTTTCCCAAAAACTAAACCACCCTTGTAAAACTAATGAAAGGGCACCAACCAGATTAGGAGGATGAGAGGGGCCTGCATTCTACTAAGATGTAGGCATAGTTAAATGATTGCCAGCCACTATTCCAGAGGTCACAAAATATGCAACTATTCCAATTACTCCTGCAGGTAACATGACTATTGTAGAACCTA